TGCACCAGCTTTCTCCGCTTATCTCCAGAGCGTTGCTCTGGAGACGAGAGCACTGTTTTCAACCCCCTTCCTCCATTCCAGTCCATCACAGCTATGCTTTTAAGCATCAATGATAAAGAAACAAAGCAGCAGATAAAATTAAAAAACAATGGAGAGCCAGCTGCATTTATTTTCCAAAAAGTGTTTGCAGAATCAGTTTCAACTGGCAGTGGAATGATTCCAGGAAGAAGCTCAAATCAGTCTCCCAGAGTTAGGGGTTGCTATTAACACTCTGTCCAAGTCTGATATGGGGCTAACTGCAATTGAGTTTCAAACTATGGAGATTTTTCTCGAAAACAGTGTACAAAATGCTACTCTGCCTCCCTGTGTATTCCTTTGACATCACTTTTTTCATCAAATAATGACTAGCCCATTGAATTTTCAAAGCTTGTATGTCACTTGCAGCTGTGAATTAATTGTTGACGGTTTCAGCTCCTGGCAGCACTGAAAAGTTAAGCTTTTCTAGCTGAACAGAGGAATTGACTTTCGTATTCATCTGCGGTGGAAAACTGTGTTATGAATCACTTTGCACTATAGAAACACTAAATCTGTGTCAGTCTTTCACTTGCTTGAAATGCTGACATATCCTCATTCCGGTAGCCACATATTTGAACTTAAATATGCTACACTACAAAAGATACTTCATTTGGAAACATAATTTATTTTGTTCTTTATATTCAGGGTTCATCATAAAGCTATATCTTTCTGTAACCTTAGAATATTTTCTAAATATTGGGAAGTTGTGCAGTGGCTGCTAAAACCTGGCAGTTATTGAGATCCATAAGACCATCCAGTTTAGATTTTTCAGACATACAAAGAATGGAGAATTTAGTAGGAGAAAGATAAGATCTGTTTGTTGGATGTAAATATATATTCCTTAACTTTAGATTGAGAGAAGCTGTTTCTTCTGTTATTGGGGTGCAGACATTTGGGTGGTAGTGAATGGTTACATCTTCCCAAACAGAATCTTGAATCAACCAAAGGAAATTCACATCTGCAAAGTTATGAAAATATCTATTATTAACCGTTTGTTTCCTAACTTAATGATTTGTATTCTTGCTTTTGTGTTTATCTTTGCTATTACTGTTTAACAGAGGTCATGGGTATTAGTTATTGCAGATAACTAGTCTGCAGTGGAGTCTTGATAGAGGTTAGTAGTACAGTGGAACCTCGGGTTATGAATTTAATTCGTTCCGTGACTCTGGTCGCACCCCGAATTGGTCACAACTGGAAGGAAATTTCCCCATAAGGTTCAATGTAATTACCTTTAATCCATTCTGGCATGGAGGACAGGGAGGTGGCTATTGCTTGGAGGGAGAGTCCCCCTCCCTACGACCACGTGGCAGGGGCGGAAAATGGCCGCGGACCACGTGTCGGGCGGAAAATGGCCGCGGACCACGTGTCGGGCGGAAAATGGCCGCGGACCACGTGTCGGGCGGAAAATGGCCGCGGACCACGTGTCGGGCGGAAAATGGCCGCGGACCACGTGTCGGGCGGAAAATGGCCGCGGACCACGTGTCGGGCGGAAAATGGCCGCGGACCACGTGTCGGGCGGAAAATGGCCGCGGACCACGTGTCGGGCGGAAAATGGCCGCGGACCACGTGTCGGGCGGAAAATGGCCGCGGACCACGTGTCGGGCGGAAAATGGCCGCGGACCACGTGTCGGGCGGAAAATGGCCGCGGACCACGTGTCGGGCGGAAAATGGCCGCGGACCACGTGGCAGGGGCGGAAAATGGCCGCGGACCACGTGTCAGGGGCAGAAAAATGGCCGCGGACCACGTATCCGGCAGAAAATGGCCGCGGACCACGTGTCAGGGGCGGGAAAATGGCCGCGTATCCTGCTCGTATCCCGAGGCGAGTTCGCAAACCAAGGTAAATTTTTGCGGCCGGAGCTGGTCGTAACCCGAAAAGTTCGTTAACAGAGGCGTTTGTAACCCGAGGTACCACTGTATTCACCAAAACGAAGGAGGTTACTTATTTAGAGTGGACTATGATGTACCTTTATGAGAACGAGATTTGAAACAAAGAACAGTGAGTAATGATGCTTTTATTAAGCAACCATGGTATATGTCTGACATTCAAACTGACCCTTGACAGTTTGTAGCAAACACAGATAGGTTCACTGGTTTATCAACTTAATGTTGCCATGAGACTGCTATTATAATTTCATTTCCTGTTCTGGTAGGTGAACTTGAAAACCAACAGCACAAATATGAATTGCATTAGTAGAGGTTGATTTGTTGTTTGTTTTGAATCAGAACAATTTATACCAACAATCTAAATTATCATGGATTGGAATTGGGGAAAACGTCATTTCTTATTTTATAAATCATATGTTTTCTGGCAGTGCGCTTCCAGAACGCTTAAAAAATTTTTTAGAGACCACCATTTGAAGAACTGTCTTCTCATATATTATACCAGGAAGGAAAAAATGTCTAGTGGCCAAAATAACTTTTTTTTTTTTTTTTTAACCTCCAAAGGTTTGTGATTTCAGCACCCAAAATATCTATTTGTTGAGGTTTGGAGGGGGTTAGTGTTGACATTTGAACTAGATTAATGGCTGAAAACTTGCCCTAAATGCACACACCTGAAGAATCAGCCCAGTTTGGGGGGATTTCAGCCTCTGCAACACTTCAGGCATCCATTTTTCCCCTTGAAAAAAATCCCAAATCTGAGAACATGCAAAAATAAAAGAACTGGAGGGGGTGTGTGGGCAGGCTGAAAAAGGGATCTCCTCAAGTGATTCCTAGGCTGCATTTTTTGCATCCCTACCCTGGTCTTTCAAATACACTAAATTGTGGGATTGGTTAGTATAAAAGTTGAATGAATAAATGAATGTGAGAGCTGTTAGTTCCAATTGTGTGGGTATGGATTCCATTCAATCCACACTAGTTATTAGCAGGATGTTTATAATTGTTCATTTCAAAACATTCATACAAGCCTAAGAAAATCTTTTCTAAACGGATGAAGGCCCGGTATGAATTGTCCTGTCTCTCTTCAGCTGCCAAACTGCTTACAGAACCCCATTAGCTAATCCCATTGCAGAAAAGAGGTCTTCATCCCAGTAGCCCTGAGGAGAAATATATTTTCTATATTTTTATATTCACTAGAATGTAACTTACTGTATAGTCATGCAAACATGTGCACGCCAAATTTCAATAAAACTTGAATAAAATGCATTTTGCCCAGTCTTACAAAGGAGCTTGTATCAAACAGTATAATCAATGGAGTGATGCTATGTAGTGTCTAGATGTGGCAAAAGTAAAGGGTGTGTGCTGGTTTCAGAGATAATCCTTCTGTTAAGCTGCTATTCTTAGAAGCTAAGTATGCGAATGGAACTATAACCCAGATAAACATAAAGAAAGAGACGGAGGAAGGTACTGAAATGTTTCTGTTGATTTTTTATTTTGTTTTCTAGACTAATGGTTACCACTGCTGGTCATCAGATGTTCTGAGATGAGGATAGTCTTGTTTGGAGCAGCATCCAATGCGTTGTTTTGTTACACGGCCTTTATTTTTAATGTGCCAAGTTTGATGTAGAGAGAAATTATAGTGCCTAATGAGAAGCTGTTGGGTCATTCTCCGTGTTAGTGGAATTTTTACAGAAGTGTAAGAAGAGAGGAGAGCAAGGATCAGCAGGAAATATTTAAACAGTACTTGGGAGCAGAAGACAGCAGAAGTTTCAAGCAAGGCAAAATATAGTAAATCAGTAAGGGGGGGGGTAATGGTATTGTTAATAAGCTAAGAACAGTTCCCTTTGAAATACAACAGCATCTATTTTAGTAAGTTTTAGTAAGGTGATGACTTTTCCGCTGTTTCAGTCTGCCCTGAATTTTTATTCCTTTCTATAAGCCAGTGTTGTTTTT